ACAATCAGTATCCGAAATCACATACAGGCCAGTAAAAAATCCGGCTACAATTTATTCCGGGCGATGCTAGGTTGTTCCTTACCAAATATAAACCAACCAATCAAACCCTAATGGCAAGTGCAAAATCACGTGGACTATTAAATAGTCCGGATACGGGAAATCTACGGACATTGCTTAGGATCAGTGCAAAATCACGTGCTTAAGTTGTGATTGGTTATTTAGCGGTTATGGGAGAGAATTTCACTGTCCGTAGATTCCGCGCTAACATAATTGGATAGCTGCATGATTACTTACCCTTCAAAAACTGGTTACTTTTCATCAATCAAATCAATGTAGCATTTATTCACACTGTTTTTTCATCGAAGTTGATGTCACTCCCATATGCTGCTACAGAGTAACAATAGCTTTAATTAAAGAAATTTTCTGTTGTATAATTGTTTCCATCTCTACAATTAATAGCAATAAGTATTAAAAATATTATTACAGACTAATTTAATGCAAAATAAAATGATTAGTTCATCTTAAGTACTTCGATTATAAGTTATTATAATATTTTGTTTGAATAAGAAATAATAGATCACAAAGTTTGCACGTAGTAACACATGTGAAGCTAGTTATATATTAAAGTAATTTCAAACATGTTATCAATACTGCAAAACTAGCATGAAAACTAATTTATTGCATTGATTATTCTAAGCATAAAAACTATTTACATTTTAAATTTATGAGCCATACGAATAACGCGTGGAGAATATGATAAATGGTGCGAAGAATGACTATATTTAAAAACATCAAACAAGTCAAATAATCGGTTAATAGGAGTGACAGACCAAAATATGAATACGTTCCGAATCAGGTACCGATGAAAAATATTCAGAAATGATGGTAGTTGGATTCATTTTTTCATCAGATCCATTCTTATAAAGTTTAATTTTTGTTGAAGGAATGTGATCAAAGAAAGGAGCCAACCTTTTTTTTATGATCGGTTTTAAGCTGTCAGCTTTCTTGTTTTTTGGAATGTCAATTACAAATATATCATCGTCCTCGTGGCTTTTATTTATGCAAAGATTAAGAGTGTAAATTTCGTTATTGTTAGAATTGGAAACGACAGGAGGACTTATAGATGTTGTTTGGGAACTCGCAAAACTTGCTTGTAAACTTGGGTCGGAATTTGCTTGTGAACTTGGGTCAGAAGTTGCTTGTGAACTTGGGTCAGAACTTGCTTGTAGACTTGGGTCAGAATTTGCTTGTGAACTAGAGTTGGAGCTTGCTTGTGGACTTAGGTCAGAACTTATTAGTGGACTTGGGTTGGAGCTTGCTCGAAGATTGTTTTGATTATTTGTTTAATCATTCTAAAACGTAATAAATAAATAAGAAAGCAAATCTTAAATTATTAATAAATTAACGTAGCTACCTGAACTTTATAAACTGTAAATTCATCACTATTTTTTTGTTTCGAAGGTAGAAAATTTGAAATAAGTTTCTTAGGACCGGGAATTGGTTTATTTTGAACTTGTCGATAAAATATGCCAGTGTCATGCTCAGTTTTGAAATGAATATGACCAAATGGCTTTTCCGAAAACTTCAATATATGAAAATCGATGGTATGAGCTATATTTAAGAGAGAATTCCTAAGATTACTGCTTGTTAATCCAATTAAGCTATTTTCATTTTCGCTGCCAATAAAGACCGATTATTCAAGAGAACAATGATATAGTTTCCTTTTTTTTGGGTCTTAAAAAAAGTAAATATAAGTGTAAGAAACTGAATATGAATGACATAAAAAAAATAAAAAGAAACGTATAGCGAAAAAATTGTAAGCAGAAACGAAATGTAAATTTGTAAAAAAGCATAAACATAAATGTAATAATAATTTGTTAAACAGAATAAATGTAAGCATGTAAAAACATAGAATATCCTTATGATTTCACTTATACGACTATTACAAAGAGAGGTACATAGCTGACTCCTCTTGTGGAATCTATCTACAGTTCTCTATATCATACAAGCTCCTTTTAAGGCTTACTTCTATGACGTTCGTTTGTAAAAATATGTAAAAATGTTTGTTCGTTTGTGAAAGTATGTAAAATGTTCATTCATGAAAGTATGTAAAAATGTTCGTTCATTCGTGAAAGTATGTAAAATGTTCATTCGTGAAAGTAGGGTTGTTAATGGAGTGACATACATCGAAGCCACTCCAGAGTGAGCCCAACCCAAGTTGGAGTGAGTTAAAGATATGCCTAAAAATCTGGAGCGAACTGAAGCAGCTCTAAGCAAGCCTGGAGTGGCTCTGGAGTGAACCCAACCCAAGCTGGAGTGGGTTGAGAAGTTGCTTAACCCAACCCAATCCAATCCATTAACAACCCTACGCGAAAGTATGTAAAAATGGTTGTTCGTTCGTAAAAGTATATAAAATGTTCATTCATGAAAGTATGTAAAATGTTAGTTCATTCATTCGTGAAAGTATGTTAAAAAAGTAAAAATGCAAAAATGAAAAACTGTAAAAATGAAAAAATGTAAAAAATGATAGTTTCTCTACTTACTTCCTTCTTTAATCAAAAAAATATTTGTTTCTAAATAAAAAATCAACACTACCCAATCATTATTTATATTCTTAAAATGATCACGTGTAGCATCAACTATGATAATGATAAGGTTTTAATTATAACCATAATTTTGGTCTGCATAGTTTAAGATGGTTTAAAAATTAATTGTTGAAATCAGAAGTCTTCGTGTTCTCAAATAACCCGATTTATTTCTTTTGCGTAATAATGATATAAGAAAAATCGCAATCTGATCAGCTGATCGTTGAGTTTAAAAACCTGTTGCCTAAAAATAATCGACCGTTTTAATTGTTCTTAGCAAATCCTTAATAAATAAAGTTGTGCTACGGTGCTATGCTAATAATTAATTAGGAAATAAAATTGAAGATTATAACATAACACAATAATCAATATGTATAATTTGTACATCAGGTGTTAAGAGATTTTCACAATATTTGCTAATCATATTTATTTTTTCGTATGTGATAACCTATTTTCATTATTAATTAAATACTTGAAATTAGATCATATTTAACAGTCATACTTGTAACTGTTACTACGTATTACTGCAATCTTTGTTACGTACTAAATCAATAAACACATAAGTAATATAAAAAAGTGTTCTATGTCAAGATCGCATATAATCATCTTTACTTTACAATTCAATGTAGTTGTATGAATTAAGATTCCACATCATGGAAAATCTAAAGAACATTTTCAATTAAGTTAAAAATCTGTTAAAATTACTTGATCAGACAAATATTTGATTTACTTATCAAAGTTTGTTAGATTCTATTCTTTGTTAACAACACATTTATATTTTGAATGATCTAAAATAATATATATATATATTCAATAAAATCTCATCTTATTTTGTACTTTTGTACAGAAAATCATCAATTAAATGTAATATTATTTATAAATTCAATTTTTAGTAAGGAGGAATATTAAATATTTTAAAATTGATATATTTACTTATATTATCATTATGCTTAATAAAAGAAAACATTTTTTATTTCATTTCATTATAATAAAAACTAAAAATTGTTATAAATAATTACATATAAGTCATCATTGTGTGTATATGAATTAAGAAAAAATAATTATCAATTGTATCAATACAAAACTATAATGTCATGTTAATATGTAAAATCTTGATATATTGCTTATAAACTTGTTTTTAACCTATTAATCATTATGGCATATTATTATATTACAGATTACATATTATTTTTTTTTAAATATTAATGATGAGGCCATGTCTTTAACTTTATTGAAATTCAATTAAATTTTTTACAAAGAAAAGCTTGCTTTTAAATTATATATAAAGAATAAAGACTCAGATATATAGTTTCAATCTAAACTTACAGATTACATATTATAATATAGTAGTTTTAAAATTATATATTTATTAAATTGTACTTTATATATTTTTTTAAAAGATCAAATATATTCTTCTTATAAAAATATAATTCT